ACAGACAGACAGACAGACAGACAGACAGACAGTCAGACAGACAGACAGACAGACAGACAGACAGACAGACAGACAGAGACAAACAGAGGGCGGGAGGGAGGAAATGGAGAAGGAGAGAGAGGAAGAGGATTAAAAAAACAAACTTTTTGACATCCGAACACATAAGCACAATGCGGCTGGGGAAAAGGGGGCGGGGTTGGGGGTGGCGTAGGTGTCCACTTGATTTGAGCAAACATCAAAAGTAGAACTGAGACTAACGTACGACATTTGTTCCAACAAGTCTGGGATTTGAACTATCAAATGTTTGTCCGGACTAACTACACCAACAATCTTTTAGTGTTCTGAATAAAATTGATAAACAGCCATTTATCTTAATGATGCACTGTTCCAGCAGCGGTTACAGCTACATGTAATGAACATATGACTCTGCTCTCTCGGGCATCAATGCTGGAAGAACGACAAAAAGTTTCCTTTTGCCCGAACTACTAGTGTTTTGTGTTATTGAAGGTTGAAAAATCCTAGCTGAATGTGTGCTCCAATACCATTATTACAATATGTAGGTGTCTCGAGACAGTTGATTTGAAGTTCCAGTATATAACCATCAACACAAGCTGTATCTATGCACGTTAGCTTGTGAGTATGTGTATTTATATGTGTGTGCTTGTGTGTGTGTGTGTGTGTTTGTGTGTGTGGGGGGGGGGAGGTGTGGCTGTGTGGTTCTTTTTTTGGTAAGTGTTTTACAGCACTTGCAAGTACATGAGGTCATATGAGCACGAGGGACACATGAAGCATATTTTCAGCAAGTAGGAAATTTTGAATTTTGCCCTGGTGGCGGCCGAAGCCTATTCTTATTGATTTTTAGAAGTTGTTCTTTTTTAAAGTAATCGAACAAGACATGACTGGCAAACATAGAAACATAGACTTGGATTAGAATATCCCAGCAGCAAGCACTGTCATGACCGCCACTATTTGCTTTCTATTAGAACCTCTCTGCGCTGGTGCTCTCCACAGGAGGGCAAATGAAAGGCAAAAACCCGTTTCGTTATAGTCAAGAGTTTTAGTTTTAGTAGAGTTTTTACGGCGCTCGCAACTGCATAAAATCGAATGAGCGCCAATGAGTGGATGTCAACAGAGAAGAAGTCCAAATGGGGAGTCAGGCTTACTCTGCCAACGTCTCTAGCCTCGACTATCAAGGCACCCCGGAAATAGCGGGTCACAAGAGAGTGAAAAACATACTCAAGAAGTAGAGGCAAAATGACGATAGTAAGGATTAGGAAAGAAAAATGCAGCATTTCCTCGCATGTAGTTCAGACACAGTTATGAGCATGCCATAGATAAATCAGCCCATTTACAATTCTACTAAGCATAAGAAGATGTTAATATCCCCTTTTTGGAAATGGCCTAAAGACAGTTCAGTCAATAGCACTGTCCCCGGAGGTATAGTCAAGTGTGTGTGCACTCCTTCTCCTGTTGTCCCTTCTTTTAGCTCCAAACAGAGTTAAATGACACGCTTCACGGTGACCCAGAATTACGTCAGAGTGCACAGTCTTGAATATTGTGATGCACGTCTATGGTGACAAACCATGAATGTAAATGTCTTTCTCAGATCTGGAGCAAAAAAAAAAGAAGAAAAAGAAGAAGAAGATTTGAAGATAAACCCTGACCAACAGTAAAATTGCTCGAGTCATAGTCACGTGTTCTGTAAAGATATTTAATCAGCTTTATCCTTTTACATCGGCTGTAGCAATCCCATAGCAAAATGTAATACGTTCATGCCACTTTCCGTCTTTTCTCTAATTCTGTGGATTGAATGCAATCAAACAGTACGGCCTCGCTAAGCACCCTGATAAAGACAGACTGCGTTAAGAAGGGAAATGTCGTGAGGTCGAAATCGATGGCGTACCGTTGGCGCAATAACTATTGTGCGGCTCACGACAACCTCCAGATGTTCACGAGCTCACACAATGGGGAAGCCAAGGCCAATTGTTCCGTTATTTCCACCGGGACGATCTGAGCAGAAAAACTATTGTTGTTTGAATAAATAATGAAGACCATT